CTTATTATTATTTGGTAATGCTATCCCCAAAACACCCATAAAGATCAAAAACACAACTCTTGTAGAGCAGTGTAGTTCAAATATGCTCTGCTTAAAACTACCACTTCATCATTACAGAAAGCAAAACACATGTAATGCCTTGTTTCCAAACAGAGAAAGGTACAAACAGAATCTGTGGCATGAGTGTGAAATGTCTGGATTTTAACAAGCCTATGAAGCGCTTTTCAGCTGAATGGTAATTAATTAGCAAAATAACAAAATTATTAGGAAATAAATTCTGCAAATTTCTTTAAGTTTGTAACAGGTAACTATGTTTCTTTGTCTCATTAAATACATAGTGAATACAAAGACATCTTGCAGACACTCAAGCCACTAGACGAAGTCACATTTAAAAGAAACCTGACAAACAGGACAAAGTTCACAGCAATACATCACAGTAGTTTATCTTCCTCTATCAGCAGAAGAACAAAGCTAGAAATGTAATTACATGAGATAGTATCCAAAAGTCTTACATAGTATACGTTGAGCATTTTTATTTTAAACCATCTAGTACTTTCCAGAAGCATTACACTCACCAACTCTTTTTTAAGTATTAGGTTACTTTCAGCTTCAGGAGTAAGCAGCTTACTCACAACTAAATGAACAGAGGTCTAAACAACTAATAGTGGCTAACAGCTTGTGAAGCACTGGAGCACAGGCTACCACAAATGCAAATGGAATGGGGGAATCTCACCCATCCACTTTTCCTGTATCTCCCACACATGTAATTATTAGCTTTCACACAGATTAAGGCAAAAGTAATCTTATTTCTAAATTCACCTCAATTTGTCCTGACAGACTTCTTTCTCTGAATTCACCAGCATGTTGGCCTGAAATTCACCCCAAAGCTGCATTCGATAAATTATTTCAGATATTTTCATTTAAAAGTCTGTACTTTTTCGCAGGGGAATCCCAGATTAGCTGTTTTATTCCTGCCACAAGACTGCGGTTTTAAATTTTTGGCACTTGTTGCTCCCGAAACAGTAACCTCTGTCATCAAAATGAACAAAGTTTTCACCAAGCTGGCAAGTCGTACTATAGTCATAGTCTCTGCCCCAAACAATTTAAAAATCAGGTGAAGAAAAAAAAACAAAAAAACAAAACAAACACAAACAAACAAACAAACAACCCCTAAAAGAAAGGCAGCACATGACAGTTATATAAGGAACAAGAGATCTAGATTAACAAAAGATGTGGTAAAAAGTTACACACACTGCATTCTGTGCACAAAGCAGTGATTCAGAAGACAGATTCTTGAACAACATGCTCAGGAACATCCTGGTTAGCTCTGGCAGGCCCACAACCCAGCCAGCATCTGAGCGGTCCTTCACTCCATTTGCTGCAGTGAGAGTCATGGGAAGAGACTGCTAGCACTAGACTACTTTCTGCCAGGTGGAGCTTTTGCACACAAAATGTTTCCACAGCTGCTTCAAAGGGCATGTGTTACAGAAGGAACTTTGACATGGACCAGCAAAACTTTTGCCACATTTGTCCCAGGGAGGGTACCACAGCTGGGAAGAAGGACATGCTTCCTGAATCGGGAGTTCTCATAGGACGTGGAAAAAAATTTGTGTGGTGCAATTAGCAAGCAAGAATTCAGTTTAGAAAAATCCTTTTTTTCTTTTTTCCTTTTCTTTTTTGAAAAAAAGAAGTTTTACAGCTTCAAAAAGGAAACACACTAAGTCCACTGTGAAAAGCTGCTCGGTTAACCGCAGAGCAGTTTGTCTTTCTACCTAAATACACTATATTCCCTCTGAGCCCTTAAGCCAGGGCTGCCAGTTGAGCGCAGCCCTGGCACATGCCCCCCTTCTCTTCCTTTTGTGTGCTCCACAGCCTTGCCACTGCACAAAGAGCACTCCCACGGCCCAGTTTACTGCCTTTAGAGTTTTCCCACACTTCAAACTTGGCGACAGATTTGGAAGACTGAATCCAAGCAGCAAGAGCTCCCAATGCTGCCCTTCTCCACAGAGCTTCCTCTGCCAATGCTGATCTAGTATTTAGGAACAGCTCCTGGACAATCTTGTTACCTGGAAAGTGACTACTCAGCTGCAGCAGGAAACTACTCGCTCAAGGGATGTGCTGGGAAGGATGTGAGTCCAGTCTGGCTTATCAGGCAGAAAACATCACATTTGGAAGAATGATGCAAAGTGCCTTTTCCCTGGTGTGAACTAAGAGGAGTCAGGATCAGCACAGCTAGAGACAGCAAGTTTCACTAAGAGAACTGCCCAGAAAATCCAAAGTGCTGGAAATGGTGGCAAGCAATGGGACATTTCAGCCAAACTTCTTTCTTTATAGAAATGGCTAGTGTACCTTCATTACGCACACTACAGTGTAAATTTACACTTTATGAGCTATTTTAAAATCTGCCCTGCTTAATAATCTGTATCAGCAAGAAAACTTTAAGGTGTCTCTTACAATTAAACCCAGGCAAAACGTTATATAAATCAAAATTTTGCTACCATATCAAAATGTTACACTGGGGCTGTATAACATCGCTCATTTCCTCATTACATGCTACACTAATTACTACCAGCAGATTCAGAATTTTCTGCACATTAGAGGCTTTTAAAGGAGCTATAAAAAATTTCAGGCACCATTAATTTAAATTTGTATTGAAATTTCCTTTTGACAGATGGCCAAAAATTACTTACTATTTAGAGTACCAGAGCCTCCCTGTTTGCACATTGAAAGAGGAAAGTAAAAAATTAAAAGGAAGAAGGAAATTTATGTCACGTTCATTACCTGTTAAATGTTAAGAGGCATTATCCTGCATGAATAAATTATTTCTTACAAGCACACAGACTCCAGCTCCTGGCAACTGGCACGTTCTGGCTGACAAAAACCATCTCAAGTCACACAGCAGACAATCATAAAACCCCTGTCTTAACTGGGAACCACTTAAGGGAGGACAGATCAATTAAACAAGTGACTAACTGCTACTCTGGGCATCACTGCAAACATTTAAGGAAATTAGCAAACTATTTTGCCTTGCAAAGTTGGCAGTAAGTCCCATAATGCTGACACAGAAACCAATTCACAACCTGAACAGCGTGGAAGACAAACACCTACTTATCAGTTCAAAGTAAACTGGCACAAACTAGCAATGCCCTCCTCTCCCTTTGGAAGTTGTATGAGTAACAGCAGCTTTGAATCAGTCCCAGACAAAATTGGGCTTTTCAGTACAAATGCTCCCCCTAACACCCATGCCAGCATAAACACCCCAACATCCCACAAATGATAGAAACATGACTAGCATGTATTGTTTAGAAACAGCGGATGGTATATACCAGTAGTTCTCCTCAGCCACTTTCTTGAGTGAAATCCTCATGGTTCTAACTACACAGGTATGCAAACTCACTCAAGAAACCAGATGAGTTTGTATTGCCATATTTAGGTAACTGCCCTACTTGTATTTGTTTGTTTGAATGCAGGAAAAAGGAAAATGGACTAAACCTATCTGTTCACAGCAAAGAGGGGATGTTCTAGGGAAATAATCATTAATCTGTGCCCAGCCTCATTGCATAAAGCACTAAGGGCAGTTTCTAGTCCTCATGACAAGAAAGCTGAAGTGAAATCCAACGCACTGCTGTCTTATGTCAGCAGATAGACAGCTTCAGTGCCTTTGCTGCTCACAGTAAAAACTGACAGTTCCTGTCAGCTCCTGGTTGTTATGCAGAGCCGTGTGAGTAATCGCAAAACTGACAACCATCGGCTCAGATGCACTTGGCTGGGACATGTCAGAGTTGGCAGTGGCAGAATGGGTGCACTGGGGTAGACTGTGGGACACGTCCCCACCTGTAGTTGCCAAAGAAGCAAAGCAAAGGCATAGCCCCTCACGCTTTAGCCCCGGTTGGACACGTTTCTGACGGGGACAAAGCCTGTGCCCAGAACCATGGTTTTCCCAATGCCAGCTAGGGCACACTGTAACATCTGACTGAGAAGATCCTCATAATCTTGTCTAATGCACCCTAGACTCATGCTGTGAACACCTCTTCTGCCACTTGGCCAACTCCAAGAATATATATAACAATATTCCTAAAAAAACCACCACTAGAAACGTGACAAACTCATCGTAAGTGCTCAAAAGGTTGGCATAGGTTTTGCCATCTGTAGAAGTTTATTTTTCATTTCACATACCAGCACCTAAAAAGGTTTGTTGACCTTATGTTTCTGAAAACCATGCAAACTAGGAGAGCAGACCGATCCAGGAGAGGGCAGGGCCAGGGTACAATCTCCCCACTTGCAGCATGGAAACCTCAGGAGCCTCTGAGAGAGTCTAGTGGCTATCCAGTATCGAAAAGCATCCAGGTACATAGCATCACTGAATGCTCAAAAATATACAGGCTGCAAGGTGTGTTATTACATCTACTTATGGACACTACCATACACAGGATGGTACATACAGAGTAATACAGATACATTGCAGAGTCATTCAGAACCTGAAAATTAACTTCTGGAAACAGAAGGCAGAATCCTCAGTGTGAGTACCACGTTCATCAGAGTAGGAAAAGGCAGCTCACTCCTCTCCAACTACTTGAGTCAGGACAGCAGGCAGCATCCCCTCTCTCCTCTGAGAGAGACAGAGTTCTCCTTTCATAAGTGCATTATAAGGAAATATCAGAATTACAGTTTACAGTCTCCAAATTATTTAAGGCTAATGGCTAATTGTTTCTGTCTCAGAAGCGTGGGCAGGGACCCCAGGCAGACTTTTCACTCTAACCAAAAACAGCCTCGATGCTGTTCCAGCAAACTTGCTGCTCAGCATGTTGCTTGCAGTCCTAGCTGTCCCACTACTAGCCACTTCCTAAATGTGATACACAATCTATGCAGGGTGCTGCTACACGAGTATCACAACTCAGTTTCACTTGGTTTTTCCACCACTCTGGGCCATACTTTAGAAAAATGCAGTGTGCCTACAGCTCTGTCAAGCTACCCTTTACACCTATGAAATGGAATCCTACCTTGATGGAGTCTCTGTCTGCATGCATAAGGAGGGGAAGAGACGGTGGCAGGAGATGGAGATGGGGGAAGAGAGAAAGAGAAAAGTACCGGTTAGTTTACATAAAATTATACATTTATCATACTGGGAAGAAAGAATCCTGATGTCTGTTAAATAATAAATTTCACAGATGTTAACTTTTCTGTACAGTTAATTATTAACGCTGTGCAGCCAGATTTATAAAACTGGATTTCTAGCACTTGAACATAATTTCTGGCTACTGCTAGATAAGAAACACTGAAGTAATTAGCTTGGAATTCTTCTGAAAATCTCTCTCCCCTCCTCTCCTCTCCCCCTCTTTTTTTTTAACAGGAGAATTTTTTAAAAAAAGAAGGAAAACAAACAAAGCCACACACTCATCTGTCAGCACCAACCTCTTTGGTGATCATTATCATGGTGCTTCTTCTCATCTTTAATTGGGAGGTGTGACTGCCCACCCAGCGCACTGGAGAGTGCCAGGAGACCAGCACTGCTGCCAATGGGTGGGATGGCTGGAGGCTGCAAGCCCGAGGGGTGCGGAGTGAGCGGCACGGGAAGACCATGTCCGTGTGACAAGTGCTGGGCCTGAAGTTGTTGCTGCTGTGAAAAACAAAACACAGATATTGAATTTGTTCAGGCAACTGGGGGTTGTCTGATTGCTTATATACATCAACTGTGATTGATTAGATCAACCAATGCATCTGATCAATTCAGATATCAACACACAAACATCCTGGTGTTTTAAAAATGTCCATGTTTGGACACAACACATTCAGTAAACTTCAGGCTGCAAAAGAAGAAGAACAACAATGAAAACAAAACAAAATAAAAGGAAAAAAAAGAATAAAGGAAGGGAATGTTCCCATTTTTGGAGAAATCTCTGTTTTTCTGACAGAAGTATTACATTTTTCTCTTTCTAGCAGAAACGCACACTACACGTCTAATCAAAACACATGTAACTATAAAAGTAGTTATATAATAAAAAAAAGCTGAAAATTGAGAAAATTAGTGTTAAACAGTTCTCCCAGCGCCACTACACAGCATGCAGTGAAAGTTAATTTGAAAGAGAAAACCCAAATTAACAATCCAGAAAAGGAAACTGGTTGCAGCCACCGTTTAAAGCCCTTTAAGTGTCCTCAGCGGTACTTGAGCAAATTACTAAAGAAAATCTAATGTAGCAAGGCTTGGATCCTCCTGTAGGCTTCCTCAATAATGCTGAAATAATTGGGTACTCTGTGCACGTTTAGTGATGCTTGAATGAAAAGCTAGAGGCCTGCCCTTGTAGTCTTCTTTAGCTGCTGACTCTGTGTTGTGACAGGTTTATTTGAGTGGGACTGTGATGCATGCACCAGTAACTGCACTGACAAGAGTTTAAAGTCATTTTTACCAGTACACTGGCAACACAGAGAGAAAGCCCTTGAGAGGTTCGAACTGGAGTGCTTGACCTCAACCAGGGCTGCATCAAGCTCTGTGCTATACTAACCACTGTGGGATAGATAGACTGTTGCTATTCATTGGGAAGGCAAGGGCAAAAAAAACCAGATCAAAACAAAAAATCAAACAGTTGAAAAAGTTTGATAGTTGAAAAAGTTAAATATATCCCAAGAAAGATCTGTTCAGATCTAAGGTTTGCATGCTAACAGTCCCAACTAATTTCTGTTCATACAATAAATAGATTAACTCTGAAATTTTGGTTTTCAAGCAGCCATTGCTCAGGATTCAGGTAAATCCCATAAGTCCTCTGGGATTGTTCTCTCCCCCCGCATGTCTGTATACAGGACTTCAGGAGAAAAAAAAAAATGTAATTTGCTTTGCATAAACCAATTCCACTTTAAATTTCTAATTGCTAAGGCTTGAGTTCTACTTTTGTTTGGTTTTCATTAGAACTTAAATTTACTTCCCACCCTGCAACCTATCTCTTGATAATCAACAGACACGTTGCTCGCTTTACTACTCCCTTCCCTCCCCTAGCATGAATCTTTACATAAGGGTGAGCTGAAAGTAAAAGGCTGCAAGTCACACACACAGTATGCTAGATAACTCTTGCAGCACACTGCATGCCTTCCTTAACACCCCACCCCTAAAGTACAGATCCTCCTCTTCCTCTTGGAAATAAAACCCATGCAGTGGAATCAGACTGGTGGTAGCACACATGTGTCATCCACTCAAGATCAGTGCCAGGGAAAAGAGGGGAATGATCCAAAAGAATGGTGAGAGGAAAAAAAAATACAAAAGGGGTGGGGACCACACAACAACAACAAAATCAAAACCAGAAAGAACATTCTTCCAGGTGGAAGAAGAAGGGAAGGCTCAATCTTTTCCCTGCTTGCAAACCCATGTGTTCCCATTCTAGCAGGTGCTCCTTCTTGTAGAAAGCATCAAACACATTTTGCTTGCTTGATGCTCTTATGGCAGTATGCTTTGTTTTTCAGAATTTTAAATTAATTCTAATGAAACAACTCAAGAGCAAACAGTGTATTGTTTAGCTTCGGTTTGAATGGGGCTGCCTTAAAGCAAGGAAACAATCAGGCATGCCTGATCTGGGGAGGGAGGAGAAGAGCAAGCAAAAGAAAAGGGATAGACAAAATAATCTGTGTTCTATCAGCTGATTTTGAGCAAGGAATTTCCCATTCCTGTTTAACAATATGCTATAATGTACTGCAAGAAGAACTCTGCCTTATTCTTGCCAGCAGCTTAAAACAAAGACTTTGAGAAGAGCTCAAGAGTATCAACAATGAGCTTTTCCCTTGTTAACTATTACACTGTCAACCAAAAAGAGACACTCATTTCACAGTATTGTACAACCTGTATAGATCCCTACTGACCTACCGTATTTGCACTATTTGACCTCCTCTGTGGATATAGGATGGTTTCCAAAAAGCTGGAAGAAAACTGCAATAAAAATGTAATGCCCTTTTTTACTGTTCTTTGTTGGGAACCTCTCCACATAGCTCAGCAAGACAACAGCACAGACTGAATCTTGGATGTACTGAACATCACTAATGCCTCTCAGGTATAGTATGGTCATTAAGAGTAATGGCACTTCAGTGCCTAGCAGCTTGGGATCACCCTGAACAGCTTGGCTGGCCCAGTCCTTCTTGGCCAAGAACCAATGTGTTTTCATTGCAAGTTGCATTGCAGAGAGCTCTGAAAATAACTGCAGAGAGTAGCGGGAAAAAAAACCCAAACCCGGAGCCTTCCTGCCATGGAGAACTGCAAGTTCTTCGATTAGAAGTGATGGGAACCTAAAATCTGGAAAGAACATGGTCCCTGTAGTGACAAAGTGTCATTCACTAATACAGCAGAAATTCAGTCACTTGTAGCAGCACAAAGAAAACGGTATGAAAAGTAGACTGTTAAAGAAATCTAAGTTAACACCCAAAATTTCAGCACGGCCCCATATGCCTACGCCACACAGACAGAGGTAATGTTGTGCATGCTGTTAGGCTGGGCTGGAAGTAAATGTCCAATAACAGAAGGATTATGGACTAGGATTGCATTGGTATGGGAAAGGACTATGGACTATGACCACCTCCATTACAATGGATGATGCTGAAAAAATGAGGCACTGGTTCAAACCCAGAAATGACACAAATTCAAGTGAAGCACTGAGCAGGCTTTTGCTCACAGAATATAGAAGAGAAAATAAAAGTATATAATCACATAATTAGTGCTGTTTGCTAATAAGCTTAGCCAAGAAAGTAAAGACAAAGCGACATCACATCTCTGACTGCCATTTCCATGACCTCTGAAAACTATTACTGTATTCAAACACCCACAACATTCGCAGCTTGGTTTTGCTTTTCCCCTGTCCATAGGTGTCACTGGTGAGCATCAGGTGGACCACATGCAGTTATTTGGTTACAGAGAAAGTTATAAAAACAGGGGCAATTCTTTAGTCCACTGGGCATCAGGTTAGTGGTCCAAAGTGCTAAAAAAGCCTGAACTCCTCTAGTCATCAAAATGCCAAAGACATGGAGCAGTAAGACAACTGACAGATACTCTCCACACACAGAAATATTCTACTACAGAAGAAAGTTCATATTTGTTTCTGCATGTAACATGAAGTTAGATCAAAAAATCCAACACAATTAAAAAACTTGCAAAAAAAGCCTGAAAATGAGCAACACATAATTTTTTGATGTTGTTGTAATCCCTTCTCTTCCCCTTTCTTCATTTTCTTTTTAATTTGTTATCCTTAGTCACATTATTTACGAACTCTTAGCATGTGGTTAACTTTAGAGAATCCCATCACAATTGACTTCAATATGTGTAAAGTCAAGCATACATCTTCAGCATCTATGCATAATAGGTGAAAACTTGGAAACTAGGCTTTATGATGCTGTAAATTTTCCAAAACTATCTGAAAATAAGAACAGTAAAAGTTGGCTACCAAGAAATATGCCCTACAGAATTGCAAAATGCAATGTTTTTAAGAAGATCCAACACACAAAAAATATAAGAGCAGGGGGTAAACATAGCAATCAGAAAGAAGACAAAAAAAGTAGACTGCATTCTTTTTAGTAATATATTTAGGAAGATGATAATTTAAATCAGCTCAGTAGTAAAAACTGAAGTACGACATTCAAAACATATTAACACATGTCAAATAAAGATAACATTTGGTTGCTCCTTAACGGTATTTTATTTTCTGTATATTCTTCTAGGCAGTCTACACTAAGGAATAAAATAACTCCAAAGTCATGTCTTAGCAAATGGGTAAAAAGGATTTGCAAAAGGTTTTTATCTAAGTATCACTAATTTTTACAGCCACAATTCTTAATATTGATGCTTAGCTTAATTCTTTTCCCAAAACATCTTAAGAGATCAAATTTGAAGTAATCATTGATAACAAACCCACTAACAAATTAGCTTCAAATGCTCTCTTGTTATAGTCAGCACATTCAAAGCCTATTTTCCTGGAAAAGGTTCAAGCTTTTACTGGATACTTTCCAAGCAGCTCTGTGTTGCAGTAATCTACCACTTTTACTCTTACAGACCCCTAAAGCTCACAGCCATTACCCAAACAACCTGAACCTCCTTTAACCTGAAGACATTTCTAATGTTAACAAACTAACATCTCAAAAAGATATTTTCTCTTTTATACTTATACTCATGCGTTCACTACCCATACCTGCAATACTGCTGGAACGGGACCTCAAAATATCTAAATCAAATAGCTTCATTGTTTGTTTGAAATGAGTTAGATGATGTGATTGATTGCTCAGAGTGAATCATTAGTAAGATAGCATACTGACAAAACAGAAACCAAGACAAAGAGGAAACAAAGAAATAAAAATAGTGGCTCATAAGTACACAATATTGATGTCAATGGTTTGAACACCAGCAAAGGAAGTCCTTCGGCACACACAGTTATGAGTGTGCCTAGGATGATGTGAATTTTTATCTATCATGCCTGTTCACACCCTTGATGTGATCTGCACTATTTATACTTCCTTTGTACTGGCATAGCATTACTAAAAAAAGTTTTTTTGATGTTAAGATACAACACAGCAAAACAGCTTACAAAGAGAGTCATGCAGTGGTTTCTCCAGTGGAATGGTTCTCGAGCTATATGCATATATACCATATGACTGGTA